TTCTTTGCAGGGGAAAAAGGATAGCAAAGAGAACGCGAATCGACAGTCAAATCAAAGACCCAATAGTTAAAAGTTATGAGGCTGGGGCTGGTGTGGGGCGTCCACGCCCTGATAACCTAGCACTTTGGGAGGCTGAGGGGGCAGATAGAGGTCAGGAGTTGAGGCGCAGCGTGGCAAAGGGCATGGTGAGAGACCCATCTCTACTAAAAAGGATACACAAAAATAGCTGGCATGATGCTTGGTGCCTGTAATCCGCGCACTCAAGAGGCAGGAGAATCGTCTGAATCTGGGAGTTGGAAGTTGCAGTGAGCTGAGATCGTGCCATGCACTCCAGCCTGGCGACAGGGCAAGACTCATCTCAAAAAAAAAAAAAGTTACTTGAGATGGAGGCATACTTTTTTTTTTTGTTTGTTTTTTTGAGGCCGGAGTCTTTCAGCTCTATCGCCCAGGGCTGGAGTGCAGTGGCACCATCTCGGCTCACTGCAAGGCGCTTCGACCCTCCCGGTTCGGCGCGATTCTCCTGCCAGCCTCCCGGGTAGCTGGAGCTACAGGCACCGCCACCGCGGCCGGCTACATTTTTTGTAGTGTTTAGTAGAGACGGGGTTTCAGCCGTGTTACGCCAAGGCATTGTCTTGATACTCCTGACCTCGTGATCCGCCCGCCTCGGCCTCCCAAAGTGCAGGGATTACAGCGTGAGCCACCGCGCGCCGCCGAGATGGGAGGCATATGTAAAGGCGCGATTGTGTTTCGGGAGATGGAGCATACTTAAAGCTCGATTTTCATCTTTTCAAGCATTACATGCTGGTCACAGTAACTGTTTCAGTCGGCTTTAATGCTGTTCCTTGTAGAAAAATGAAAAGACAGGAAAAGAGAAGGAAAGAATCCTTAAGTCTTTTCATAGGAGAATTGCTTACCTAAATTAACATAGAAGTTTAAGTTATAGCTCTTGAGAATTTATATTTTAATATTTTATATTAATATTTTATTTTATAAGAGCCATGTTTGTATAAATTAAAAGTTCTCTATTATCTTCATGTACTGAATAAGTTTGCCCCACCAAATGATATTTTTGTGATTGTATCTTTTACTTTTTGATTTCTAAAATTAACATACAGTAAAAACGACAACATTTGGGTGTACGGTTGCATGAGTTTTTACCACCAGCATGATCAGGGTGCAATTCTATCACCTCCCCAAATTCCCCTGGTCTCCTGGACCACCACAGAGAGGAATTCTTTTATATTCTGCCAAGGAAATCAAAGCTTGGCTGACAGGCCAGCTGCAGCTGAGGGTAGAGGGAGCAGCCATCTTGCAGTCCAACAAGGTGTTCTTTCAATCCTTGCATGTTAACAGCAACAGGCTTTCATTATACATTAAAAGCATATTTATTTTACACAATAAATAAATAAATAAAACGATAAGGAGAAACAGTTTCATTGATACATGAAATTTAGGTAAATTGCTTCCTAGAGACACAATCCCCAAATCATTGGTGGTGCTGTCAGTGGTAAACCATTAAAAGATGCAACACGACCCCCGGGAAAGAGAGATGCTATACCTCGTTTCTACCCCTTCATCCACACTGAAGGGAGGGAGACAGAACTGAGAAGACTCCTACTGCCATTCATGGCACCCAGGCTGTAGGTGCCAAGGGACACCTACAGGCCAGTGCCAAGTTGCCCTCAGCCCCACTTTGGCTTCCCTTCTTTGCTCATCAGCACCCAAAGTCTGTAGGGGTCCGAGGTGCCAGAGGGCTGGTATGTCAGCACTGCCCCAAGTGTGTGCGCACCCAGCAGGCTGTGACAGCACCTGGGCTTGGCCTCGACTTTGCTCCAAGATTAGAGCCGGCACTGACAGCAAGGAGATGCCAGGCTATGGGAGCAGGCACTTCTAAGCCTGTGAGGGCAATGGGGACTTCCCTGACCCTCAAGAGTGTAGAGATGCCTGGTTCCGCAGCAGTGGTTTGGGCACCTGCAGCTACACCCAAAAGGGCAGGGCTCCTGCCTGCTCCCAGCACCCGCAAGAGCACAGGGAGGCCCGGCTTCACAACTGCGACCTGGGTGTCTGCATTTGAACCTGGCGAGCTCCTGCCCCACCAACTTGGAAGGTGTGGGGCTGTCATTGTCCCCAGCTCCGTAGCTCTGTGGAATGTACAGTCCCAGCTGCACCTCCCTGCTGC